CCGAGTGGTGGTAGGAGACGAAGGATCCTATGCATATACTGCTCTGGGGAGCAGGAATGGGGGGGACCATTTATGTTCGCGCCAGTGGTTTCTCCTCTCTCAACGTTGGGTGCTTCGTGAGACCCTGCAACAGAGCTGCTGCCCAAATTGGCTGCGTCCAGTGGGAGGAACACCATGGTCTTTTTTCAATTTAGTTTTCTTTTTTCTTTTTTTTTTTTTGAGACAGGACTCGTCACTCTTGCCAGACTAGGGGTGCCGTGGCGTAGCCTAGCTCACAGCAACCTCGAAATCTTCCTGCGGCCTCAAGGCGATCCTTCTGCCCCCCTCCAAGTAGCTGAGGAGTGATGAGGCAGCAGAGGCCTCCAAATCTAATTATGTATTGGCGCCAAGGTGATTTCTGTTCTATTTGTTAGTGATGGATGGGGGGTCTCACTCTTGACTCAGCTGCGTTTCGGAACTCATGACTTGAGCCAAAATCCGCCCGCCCGGCCTCCCACGAGTGCGTTAGGATTACAGGCGGTTGAGCCACCGCGCACTTTTTTGTATCAATCTTGCATTCCGAGTGCATCAACGGTGTAGAATGGCTTCACAATTGAAAGTTGAGAGGTGGCGAGGACAGGTACAACGCAGAATAGGGAACTATTTTGTCTCTTGAAAAGATGGGGGAATTTTCTTCCTGCGATAGATGCCTGTTGTGCGCGAGGGTACTCGCCAGCCACCATGTACGAGTAAGCACGGGAAGAGACGCTCAATATTTTTAGCTATAAGAGAAATACACATCAAGACTAATGAGAGGATAATTTACACCGACTATAATGGCTATAATAAAAAGACAGATGAGAAGTGTTGGAAACCATATGAAGGAATTGAAACCCTCCTATACTGCTGTTATTAATGAAAACTGGTGCCTATACACTGGACAACAATTTGTCAGTAGTTTTTCATAAACAAAATTTGCCATAGGGCACAGCAATTCCACTAGTAATTTCTACTGCCATAATATAAAAAACATAATTTCACACAAAAATATGCATAACAATGTTATGATTGGAATAAACAAAATATCCCTGAGCTGCTAACGGGATGGATTAATTATTGCATATTCATCTACCAAAGGATACTATACAGCAATAAGAGGGAATAAAATACTGATACGTGCACAATATGAATAAAACTAAAAACAATTATGCCTAGTGAAAATAACTATTTACAAAACGCCATTAATTGTATGACTCCATTGATGTCAGATTTCTAGAAAGAATAATCCATAGAGAAAAAAAGGAATTGGTATTTACCTGGGGTTAGAGACTTATTGGAAAAGATATCTATGCCCTATGAAGTTTCTTTGGGATTGATAAAAAAAAATCCTAAAATTATATTATGGTGACGGCTTCATGATTCTTTAAAGATACTAAATATATTTATATTTTATACTCTAAATAGCTGAATTTTATGCATTGCAAAATATATCCCATTATCAAAACCATTAAAGTAATGATAATATCAAAGTAAATTTTGAGGAAAGCAAAAAGGAACACAGGTTCTGGATCATGGAGCTGAGTCAACAGGATGCCCCGTTGTCTCTTTTATGTCACCCTCCCACCATCTCACGCCTGTCCAGCAGGAGCTCTCGCTCTTACTGACCCACCTGGTTAAAATGTCTATACTACCCAAAGTGATCTGCAGATTCAGTGCAACATCACAAGATTATTTTTCACAGATATAGAAACAATAATTTTACACTTTGTATGGGCCCAGGAAGACCCCATATAGCAAAAGCAATCCTAAGCAATAAAAAAAAATAGGAGGTATCAATTTACCTGATTTCAAACTATACTACAAGGCTATAGTACTTAAAAAAGGTTTGCACTGGCACAAGAACAGGGACATTGACCAGTGGAACAGAACAGAGAACCCAGGTATAAAATCATCCCCATATAGCCATCTAATCTTTGACAAAACAGACAGAAACATACACTGGGGAAAAGAATCCTTATTCAATAAATCATTCTGGGATAACTGGAAAGCCACCTGTAGAAGACTGAAACAGGATCCACACTTTTCACCTCTCACAAAAATCCACTTATGCTGGGTAACAGACTTAAACTTAAGGTGTGAAACTATTAGACATTGGTCTAGGCAAAGAATATATGAAGAAGACCCCAAAGGCAATCACAGCAATAACAAAAATAAATAAATGGGACCTGATCATATTAACAAGCTTCCGTACAACCAAAGAAACTCACGAGAGCAAACAGGCAACCTATAGAATGAGAGAAAATTTTTGCATGCTACACATCCAATAAGGGACTGATAACTAGAATCTATTTAGAACTCTGGAAAATCAGGAAGAAAAAAATCAAACAACCCTATTAAAAAGTGAGCAAAGGACATGAACAGAAAGTTTTCCAAAAATAAGACAGAATAATAGCTAACAAACATATGAAAAAATGCTCAACATCTCTATTATTCAGAGAAATGCAAATCAAAATCACAATGAGATATCACTTATCATCAGTCAGAATGGCCTTTATCAAAAAGTCTCAAAACAATAAATGATGGTGAGGATGTGGAGAGATAGGAACACTCTTACATTGCTGTTGGGACTGCAAATTAGGTCAACCTCTGTGGAAAGCAATATGGAGATATCTTAAAAAGATACAAGTAGGTCTACCATTTGATCCAACAATCCACTACTGGGCATCTTCCCAAAAGAACAAAAGACATTCTATAAAAAAGACATCTGCACTCATATGTTTATACCAACACAATTGACAATTGCAAAGATGTGGAAACAACCAAGTGCACATTGATCCATGAGTGGATTAATAATATGTGGTATATGTGTACCATGGACTACTATTCAGGTATAAGAAACAATACAAGCACCTCTTGTATTTCACTAGATAGAGCTGACACTTATTCTACTAAGTGAAGTATACCAAAATTGGAAAAATAAGCACCTCACGTACTCACCAGCACAGTGATTTCACTGATCAACACCTAAGTGCACATATAGGAATAACATTCATTGGGCGTCGAGCAGATGGGAAGGCGGAGGAGGGGATGGGAATAAACATATATATTGAGTGTGATGTGCACCGTCTGGGGGATGGACAGGCTTGACGCTCTGAATCGAGGGGTGCGGGGGAACAAGGGCAGCATACCTAACCTAAACATTTGTACCCCCATAATATACTGAAGTAAAAGTATAAACAAAAAAGTTAAAGTAATACATTCAGAAATTTTAGGAATTGAGTTAAAATATTTTATCATATTTCTAAGTTAATTACTCCTTTTAAATGTGAATTTCTGTCTTATTTTTTTAAAATTCATCTTTTTTTATAATTCACTATATATCTGAAGTTATTTTTATATAGAAGAGTTTTGCACTATTTGTTAACTCATTAAATTTATAGAGTTCAATGCATTTCAGAAAAAGAGTCTACTGGAAATAAAAGCAGATTTCACAGTGGTTATATAATTTAAATTCTCTCAATATTAATCTACTGAAAAAGGGATGAATCTCATCCTCCTTGTTGACAAGAGAACCTATCTATAAATACCACCTAGCAAAAAAATTAATATACTCACATAGGTTCATTAATGACTGTCCTCAAGGCACTGAGCAAATCTGCACTTGACATTGTGCTGAAGTCCACTCTAACAGCTGCCCCCTTGGCCTTCATGTGAGCAATGTTGTCTGGTTGATCCGCAAACAAAGGGATGCCCACCATGGGGACCCCGTGGTAGATGGCCTCATAGACGCCATTGAGTCCACCATGAGTTATGAAAGCTTTGGTTTTTGTGTGACCTAGAATTGGGTGAATATCAAAGAAATTATGGATTATGCACCTTAGGCATAAAATGAGAAAAGGACAATACAGGACACTGAAAGTTGTAATGTTTTCTAGATAACAGATTGGAACACCCACAACACTGCCCTGAAATTGCTGTCAGATTTCAGAGGAGGAAGCACCTACTGTTGCTGGAGAGGAAAGTGAGGCCTGCATGGAAGAAATGGTGTGGGACTCGAGAATGGAAAAATGAATATGAGATTAGCAAGCTGAGAATGAAAAGACACATTTTGAGTAAAAGAAAATGTGTGAAATATAAAAAAGGAAGAAGAAAAGGAAAAGTTTCGGCATGTATTCATAAAAACACGTTCTCTGAAAGCAACATGCAGTCAGGGAGTCTGACATGCGAGTGCCCAGGGCACAGGGAGAGTGCTGGGAGCAGGGCTGGGGTCAGAGGAAGGACAGGCCACGCTTCCCTGTGGAGGTGTCGACACAGTGTAGTAAAGCCTGGGATTTATTCCCATAGAAAATGCAGAGTCACCGGTAATAGAAGAACAACTGTTCTTTTTAAGTGCCGTGTGGAATAACCTTGGAGTAGGGAGGACAGGGGTGAAGTTGTAGAAATAGGAGACAGACAGACAACCCAGGGCGCTATGGAAAATTATCTGAGAATCAGATACATCTCATATAAGGATACTTTGTTTTTGGAAATAAAGAATATGAATGCATGTAACAAAATGGCAACTGTTGTAGTTTATTCTTCCCCACTAGGGCTTGAAAATAAATATAAATATAGTTAGGTTTATTTTTGAGTTTTCAACAATAAATATTCCATATGTTAGTTGCTGTTGACCTACTCTCACTCTAATCGGCTGTTAGTCACATATTCAGTATTCTTTCTCCAGTATCTCACCAAGAAGGTCATTCTGGGGCAACCACTTGTACAGCCGAGTATTGGGTCCCAAGGTGTCTGGTTTCTTGCCATGAAATCTCCATAGAACCTGTTGGGTAAAGAAAATATCTTGTTTCATGAGTGTAACTCCAAAGTTATGGCACAGTAAAACTCTAAAGGGGATATCAACCATCTAGTTAAATCCCCTCCATACAAAGGATGAAGAAATGAGAACAAAGTTCTTAAGTAATGAGGACTACTGAAACTCTGAGATAAAATAGAATAACCAGATTGCATGTGCTTATGATTAGAATCACTTTGGCATATAGGAATTTTAAGTAACTTTGATGAATGGTACTTTCAATGTTAAATTCAAGTATTGAATAAATAGACAATGTATATATAAAACACATACATCAATAATGATCTTTCCATTGATTTTATTTGCCTATTTTCTATTAGCTGCCATCTTCTAAATTTAATAATATTCTGTTTATTCCTTCTTTTAAATGTTTATATTTAATTAGCTTTGACACTTAATTGTTTTGCATATGTATACACGATGTCTTCATAGATGCATAGAATGTGTAACACTTAAATCATAGTAATTTTGGTATCTATCACCTCAAGCATTTGAGTAATATGAGTAGTAGTTCATTTATATCTACTTTTTACATACGTAATTTCTTTACAGTTTGACATCATGTGAGTTATAAAAATGATCTGTATGATGAGCTGCTTGTGAGAAAGATAGCCATGCTGCATTGGTAGTATGCATGACCACTGTTAGGTAGAATTTATTAAGCACAGCTTCCAAGAAAAAGTTTAAGTGGCAATTTTTGAGAAATATTCATAGTGTTGCAGCTATTTCTAGTTTCAGAATTCTTTCACTGTAGAAAAAAGTGCTGGTGGTCAATTGATGAATACCAACACAGCTGTTAAAAAGTCCAAAATTGTATTTTGCTGTATTTTGCTTAACAGATCATTAACACTTAAATGATAGGCTACAGCAGTGATTCATATGGTCTGCTGTAACTAAGCCATTTCCATGCCCAGTACCAAAATAAGCTTATTGTAGAATTTCCAGGCAATCCTTTTAAACTTCAATAAAATTTAGAAATGTTTACCTTCCAGTTGGTATTTTAGTGTTGAAGACTATGGAGTTTTCAGCAAAAAAGTAGCACAGGTCATTAGGAGAAATCTATGTCAGACAGAAAACTTAAAAACTAATTCACAATTCACATAGACTGCAACTGCATTTTGTATATTATTAGTGGGCAATACCTGCCTACTACATCTTATGGAAGGGGCCTCTGAATCTCTTCCCATTCCTGCCTTCATTCTGATTGAGTTCTTCCCTTATTCCATTCTCCTTCCTCAATCCAAAGGAGGTGTTTGTCTAGTGGTTTGGTCAGAGTCTTGTGGGGCCACGTTTTATAATGCACAGGTTCTACTGCTAGGGCAGGATCCCACCTGTGTCTTCACATTACATCCAGGCCTGTCCAGCAAGGCAGGCAAATTTTTCTTTCTGTAATTCAACTTGGCTGGGTGGGTACCTGGAGTAGTGATTTCTCAGCCCAATTATTTTTTCTCTGAATAGAACCCTGACCGCACACCAAATAGGCTTTTTCCACATTTATAGGAGTTACAAAAGGTCAGATCGCATGGGAAACCTAAGCTGCAATGCATTGCAGACTTTTATTAATACTTGCTTATTGTTATTGTGCTAGTGCAGACACTCGCTAAAATTGAACTCGTATCTGATAATATCTGTAATGTATAAAGAGCCCTCAGGAAGTCTCTCACAATAGGATTAAACGGCAGGGTAAAATTTGGTGATTTGTGTTTACATGCTTTCAATACCATGATATTCAATAATATCAAAACTACCCTACACTTTTTCAGTATATTTGTTATTATCACACTGTTAATGTCAAAGTTAGTACAAGTGAAACCCTCCTCTTTACTATCATAGCATCTTCCATATATAGTTAAGTTTTTGAGATGATATCTAACTTAAGCGGAGCTATACTAACAGTTAACACTTTTGACAGAAATTTTCTGCCCCTGTATTCTTTACAAAGTTGAACAGAGTGATTCAGTAGCTGTCCACCATAAGGCACTTTATCCAACCTTTTGTGGGATCTGGGCAAGGGCTGCAGCGATCACATTGGCCCTTTCTTCTGTCATGTTACTGAGCATCGACCCCAGAGAAAACACCACAACGCCATTTTCTCCAGAGCTCTGGACAAAGTCTTCCATCTCCTGTGAAGAAAGAATGTGTTCCGTCACAAATGGGTGTCAGTGTAAGAAACATATTTGAAAAGATTGTTAAAAACATCTAAGAAGAGAAAAGCAAGTATTATCAAGAATTAGTAGAGCAACAGTCATTTTTTAACTGAGGTAATCACTAGGTTTATTTTGAAAGTATGTGTTAAGAGATAGATGGCATCTATTGTGGGAATATGTGCAAATATGTGTTTGCATGTGTATGCATGTGTGTGAGAGGAAGAAATGAAGTAGAGCTATTAAAATATACTTGGGAGAGATAGTGCTAGAAAATACTATACCCAGAATGTTAAACTATATTATTGTATTTTATAATTTACTTTTCAAAGAGGGCTTCACTTGGCTTTAATTCTCTATGGTTATAGTTCTAAATCATTTTTGTTCATTTCAGGCATTTTTCTATAATATTTTCTGGTTTGGAGCCCTTGGAGTCATTCTCTAATTATTACCAGGAGGCCATCTTACTAAGAGTTGGGATGATTTTATATCCACATTTCTTCAGGTCTATAATCTTTTCTCCCTCACTTCAAGTGTGTCAGAATTTCCCAGTCTTTTCCCACACACGCACACAGACAGTGGGTGAAGGTTAATAGTCACTGACATGCTGGATTATGATATTGTGGTTTAGAATTTTGGTGAAATCGTCCCAAGGGTTCCTTTGATACATAGATTTAGATGGTATATAGGTACAGAGTTTAATGATATTTCGTAGGTCATTGTTTATATATGAGACATTTTTTATCCTGAAATTACACTTGAAATTGCTGTGCTATTTATAACTGCCAGGGAGGGACTGTCCTTGTCCTCTCACTGTGTCCCACGGAGAGCAGCTTTGTCACAGGGGAGAGAACAGCAGGCCTCGCTGTCGTGGAGATCTGGTCACTCTCCTGAGTAGCTCACTCACAGTGTGTAAAATTCTTGGTGAATATGAGCTTGCTTGGACTTGATTGAGAATGATTTCCACTTGTGTTTTCCATTCTGTGCCAATTTGTAAATATTAATACATTCTACATAGGAATATTCTAAACCATTCAATGTATTCTCCCACCAAAGAAAATCAAACAACCAACCCCCTCCACCTGCCAAAAAAAAAAAGGAAAGAGGTGAAAGATCAAATAAATGTAGAACCAAGTGTTTCCTGGGCATCATATCCAAATTATACCCTCTATTTGTTGCTGTTCCTTTCCTATTAAATTGATTGTTTCTTTCTGCAAAATAATGATCAATATTTTTCTACATCACAAGTAAACTTTCATATGTTAATCCTTGGGGTGAACTCTCTATTTAAAACAGCTGTTTACAGAAAGAAGAGTTTTAATCAGTGGCATCAGTTTTAAGAGGACTTTAAACTGTGCTTTAAACAGTCTTCCAGGTAATACATGGGACATCCAGGTATTCTGTGTGATTCAGTTACCTGAAGACAGATTTCATGTAACTTGTGTTCGATGTTTTGTCTCACTGGCTGACTGCCTATAAAAACCTTCATTCATTCACTATGAAGTAATACAATCTCTCTTTATAGATTCATTACGGATCTCATTCTGTGACTCCTTTATACAAAGAATACAATATCAATGTAAGAAATTTTGTAATAGTATAAAAAATGAAAACAAAAAGTATTGAGTTTCATCCATACTCTCTGTCAAGACATATTCCCAATTAAAATTGTTCATGTGATTTCATTATGATATTTATTCTGTTTATATGACTCAGGGTATTTATGTGATATATGCTTAGAAAATTTTAATCTTTTTTTATTCTTTGATAATTTTGTTTTATTTATTTTTCTATTTTTTAATTTTTTTAAATTTAAGCATTTTAAGGGGGTACAAATGTTTAGGTTACCTGTGTTTCCATTCCCCCACTTCCCCTCTGGGGTCAGAATTTCAAGAGTGTCTTACTGTATATAAATTGAAATCAGAGAAAACTTTGTGATCTTGTTCTCTTCATCATTTTGCCCCTCATTTTCCAACAAAACTTGCATTATGGTTGATTAATTAATTTTTGGTAAAATTATTGTGGTAATATGGTATGAACAGAGTATCAGTTTTTAATCTTTTTTAATATAAGATATCTAAATTACTTTGAGTATTTTATGAATATCTGCCAGAAATATTGTATCTTCCATCTTGATTTATTTTTTGTTTGTATAGTTTCACATACGTATACTTTGAAACCAACAGGTACATGCACTTTTAAAATGCTTGATATATTTTGCCAAAAGTCTTACTCTTTTAAAATACACAAATACAAAAAATATAAGGTCACTTTTCATATACATTGGTAGAACTTATTTGGTTTTTATTATATACACACTGTACATTTTCTCTCTGCTTCTCTCTTAGGCAATTCTGAGGTTGAGGCAAAAATTTCCCCCGGCAGCTTTATTGAGGTGTCCTGTGGACTTGGCCTAAGGCAGGAAACACCTGCTCTGATGAGGTAAACCTTCCCTTTGGTGCTCTAAGATGTAAAACTCTGGATCTCAGTGAGGAATGATTTCAGTGCTGGAGTGAAACATGAAAACATTAAGTTTTCCTGTCAATATTTTGGGGACACCTTTACATTGGTGAGGAACGGTGTTCCTTTTAAGGTAGAACAATGGTGAAGAGCCTCTGCTCTTACAATAATTAAACAAAACCAAACAAATAGGAATATATTCACCTTAGGCAGGGGATTGGCAGGTTTACAGTGGAGTCCACCAACAAAATCAAAATTTGGTAAGAATGGGCGAGGAAAATCAAAATCCCAATAGTTTCGAATAAGCCACATATCAGCTTTCTTCATTGTTTCATATAATGTAGTGGTTTTGCCTGAAAAGAAGAAAGACAAGAAAACATAGATGACACAAGAGAGTTGTCTTGAGAATATGAAAGTAATTTCCTGAAAGGAGTTGGAAAAATGTAGCCAAAGATATATAAGGTGTTTGTGCTTTAATAAAACAAACTCATACACATATTGATTTATAGGCGTGATTTAATTCCCATGGACCATATATGTTGCTCATAGGTTTGTATAAGAACAGCAAAGTGCTAAGAGAATTTTTAGAGGAGATTATGTCTCTAAGATCACATCAGTATATTCACAAGCATCAGTAATTACTAATATAAGCCACTCTGGATTTACCCATGCAGTTGCTTATTTTCTAGCGCTACTGTACTAACATATATATGTTTATTTGAGCTCTGCTATCAATGAATGCTACAAAACCCATAAACTTCATTGTAATAAGTACTGAATACACTTTCAACAATTTATGAAGGTAGTCTGATGATATTTGGTTCTCCTAGTATATAAAAGAGTTTTTCTGAAAATGTGGTTGAAATCCTTTTAGATACTACTTTTTTGGATTCATGGGAAGATATTATTAATATTATTATTTTAAGAATAAATATATAATATTTACACATGGAAGCTAGAATTCTTTTTAAATTATAGGAATGTATAGAATTTGCTACCCCTTCATGTGGCTCATATTTTACTTAACTTAGATGTATAATTTAATAAAATGTAGACACAAACTTGGATGTTTACACATCAGTAAGATTTTTGTCTTTAAAACAGAGAAGTTCCGGCCGGGCGCGGTGGCTCACGCCTGTAATCCTAGCACTCTGGGAGGCCGAGGCGGGCGGATTGCTCGAGGTTGGGAGTTCGAAACCATCCTGAGCGAGACCCCGTCTCTACTAAAAATAGAAAGAAATTAATTGACCAACTAAAAATATATATACAAAAAATTAGCCGGGCATGGTGGTACATGCCTGTAGTCCCAGCTACTTGGGAGGCTGAGGCAGGAGGATCGCTTGAGCCCAGGAGTTTGAGGTTGCTGTGAGCTAGGCTGACGCCACGGCACTCACTCTAGCCTGGGCAACAAAAGTGAGACTCTGTCTCAAAAAAAAAAAAAAACAGAGAAGTTCCAAGCCCTTAGTGAAGGAACGTAGAAAAGTTGGAAACCTCAGGTTTTAGTTGTTTATTTCTGAGACAGACCTGTCTCTCAACCGCGAAGGAATTCTTTTGGTTATATAGAAAAAAATATTTTAATTTCTAAATAAGGAAGTTAAGGTACACAAGGAAAAATAACTCCCTCAATGCTACATTAATAGTTGTGCTAGAACAATGTTTAACTCTTCAATCTACATATCTGCCTTCATCAAGATGTTTCTTGATGTGTCCATTAACTTTTATTAGGGATAAAGAAAATGTGTAATAAAGTAGATACTATATTGCTTAAAGAAATACTAAGTTCTGTAATTTGCACATTTATGACTTTGTGGATGTAATATAGAAATGGTGGCCAGAGGTTCTAACTGATCCTATAATTTTTCCATAATATTTGTGAGATTGATATTTCATCTTATATTTTCATTTCATAATTGCATTTACAAAACATACAATCATCTGATTCATAGTAATAAAAGCTCCCTTTCCAAGGGATAAGGAAAGATAGGAATTAACAATCACAAATTAAAAACATGACTTACCTAATACCTCACTGTAGAACTGATCCCACTCCTTCATATTCAATGTTTGGAACCAAAAGTCAAAATAAAGCACATATATCATATTTTTTACCCTCTCCATGAATGTCATTTGATCACTTAATTCTGACATAAGTACAGGTACATAGGAAGGAGGGAATAGAAGTCCTCCACCATGCTTTTCATATTGGTTGCCAGGAGACAAGCAGAGACTGTACACAAGGGGTGTTTTAAGTATCTCAGCCAGCAGCTCACCGCAGGGAGCAATGGCATCTGCAAGAACCACATCAAACTTTGACTCTTGTAGCCTTGTCATAAGTTTCTTGTTTAAAACTGCACCTTTACAGAACTTCATCATGATTTCAGAAAATCTCCACATGATTTCTTGTACTTGTGAAAAATATGACCAAAATGTATCTTTTGGAAGATCATATATCCATTTATCGATCAGCTGTATGATGACATCTTCAAAATCACTTTTGGTTAAAGATGTAGGAAAAACTTCAAATTTAATACTGGTTGCTTGTTTTCGATCAATGAGAATGGAAGCAGAATGTGTCAATACAGTCACCTCATGTCCTCTCTGGACAAGTTCATCCAGGATTGTCTTCATGTTCATCCAGTGGCTGTATTCTGTGGGCCACACCAGCACCTTCCCGCAAGTCCCAGAGCTAAAGTGACCACTCAGTTGCATCAGCAGGAGAACTGAAGCCAATTTCATAGCCATCTTGGTGAAATGCAATGCTTTTTATTCGAGTTGCTGGTCCTTTCTGTCATATCTCATGCTTATAATGAAGGATAAATTAATCAAGGTAAAATTTAACTCCTGCACTCAAAGTCCATCCTCTGAGCAGTCTCAGAGTGTGGCTGCCAAGTGGACAGAGCAAAGGCAGATGACTTTGTGTTCACTCAAGTGTGTTTAACGTCCCTTTCTGTTTATAAGTGCATTAATCCAGCTGACTGTGATGACCTTGCAAGTGCAAATAACATGTCCTATGTCATATATTTTAGATTTCTATCTAAAATAGTGGCAGTAAGAGGCTCCTGGGTCTGCAGTCCTGTGACACAGAACTAGAAATAAAATAATTATACGGCTGAGTCAGTATTTCTCGCTTATCATGGTTCAAATAGGTTTTTGTAAAATTGTTTTGGTATATAATGTACATTCCATATTAGTCACCATTATTGTTTAAAATTCAATATTTCTTAGTATATTCACAGAATTGCACATCTACTACAACAAATAGGTTTATCTCCCTAAAAGAAACCCTGTGCACTTTTGCTTTTATCTCCCCACTTTGCTTTACCCATCCTGTCTGCTCTGGGCAATCATTAATTTAGTTTTTTATCTATAAATTTTCTTTTTTTGGACAGTTTGGTAAAGAGAATAAAAAGTATGTGGTCTTCTGTGACCGGCATTTTTTACTTAGCATAATGTCTAAAGAGGATCATCCATCCTATTCCTTATTGCCAAATAGTATTCCATAGTATGGATATAAATATTTTATTTGTTGATTTATCAAGGGATGGACCTTGATTCTGTTTGGGTTTTAGCTTTTATGAATAATGTGGTTAATCAGCATTCATGCACAAGCTTTGCATCGACATATTTTAATTTCTCTTTGGTACATGCCTATAAGTAGAATTACTGGGTCATATGCTACCTCTATGCTTATCCTTTTGGGGAATTGCTAGACTGTTTTCCACATCGGCTGCACCTTTTTTCATTCCCACCAGCCTTCTATGAGGGCTTCAGTTTCTCCACATCCTGGCAACACTTTTTATTATCTATCTTTTGATTATAGTCAGTGAGAGTGAAGTGATATCTCATTATGTTTGACATGTGTTTGTTTTTTAAAAGTGCAGAGAGTGTTTTTCTTGTGCTTATCATCCATTGTATATTTTTCTTGGCAGAATTTCTACTGAAATCTCTTGTTCCTTTTTGTTTTGCTCATTTGTCTTAGTATTGAGTCATATTTTAATATTTTTATTTGATTATTGAGTTATATTTTTAAATATATATATTTTTAATAGCCCTTCATCAGATATATAACTGGTTCTCTTGTCCACTAAGAAAATGAGATTCATCCATTATTCGGTAGATTAATATTAAAAGAATTTAAATTATATAACCAATGTGAAACCTGTTTTTCTTTTCCACTAGTTATTTCAAAGTTGCTTTGAACTCTAAAAATTTAATGAGTAACCAATTAGTGCAAAGATCATCTACATAAAAAAAAATTGTTCAGGAGGAAAGAGAAATCTCCTACATACTCCAAACAACCCCACATGGCCCTTGCCTTCAGCACAAGCAGTTCAGGCCGGGGTGAAGGGCCAACAGAGGACAGGAAAACTGATTTTGCTGTGATTCCAAGGGTAGCTGCATCCTTCGTGGCCTGAGCTGCCTGATGATGCCCCTTGCCACCAGACCGTCTGTCTCCTGATGACCAAGGCAATGAACTGCAGCTACTTCCTCGGGGGCTAAAATGGCATCTAGCAAGGCTAGGATTTCTTTGCTATATTTTATTTCTTTATTACTGGACTCAAAGTGTCCCCTTTCTTTCCATATGGCTCATGCACCTAAACAATAGGAAAAGCATACCTGGAGTCCAGGTAATGGTCACTTGTGTGCCTTTATCTAGTTGGAGTGCCAGACAATAGCTGCGGATTCTGCCTTCTGTGCTGAGGTTCCAGAAGGGAGGACTTCAGCCCTAATATGTGCTGATGGGTTATCACTGCATACCCAGCTCTCCATTGTCCCTGGTCCATAAAGCTGCTTCCATCAGAAATATCTCTAGGTGTGTGTTTTCCTAAGGGTGCGTCAGTTAGATCCAGCTGGCTAGAATCAACTCATTCAATTACTTGTAAACAGTCATGCACAGGTTCAGATGGCATTTGGGGAATTAAGGTGTCAGGATTTAAGGTAGAGACTGCTCTTAGTGTTATATTTCATGTATCCAAAAGGATGGTGTGATATCTCTCAAGCCTCCCAGAGGCCAGCCAGTATTCTCTTGTCTGTTCCAGTAAGGGGAGCACACAGTGGGGTGTGCAGAGTGCTGGGCTGGCCTATTGTAAACTTCTCTGCCTCTTGAGGCAGGAGACACACGGCAGCAATAGCCCGAATGCAAGAAGGTCATCCCTTTGTGACAATGTCCACGTGCTTTGAGAAATAAGCAATGGGTATCTTAATATTTCTCAGGTGCTGAGTCAGCACTCCTAGACTCAGTCCTTGCTTCTTATGCACAAAAACATCAAAAGGTTTTCCTATATCTGGGAGTCCCAATCCTGGGGCACTCAACAGTTATTCCTAGATATTTCAGAAAGCCCTATGTCCATCCCCAGTTCACCATAACAGTTCATTATCTCCTCCCCTTAAGGCATCGTACAGAGGCTAAGCAATAAGTCCCAAGTTAGGAATCCAGATGTGACAGAAACTGGCAACATCCCAGAAGCTCCACAGCTGTTGTCAAGTGAGACTCTGTCACTGGGAAAACCTGAATCCAAGATATTTAACTGAAGGCTGTAAATTCTCAGCCTTTTTCTTGGATACCTTGGATACAGCCAGGAAGTTTAGAGTTAGAATAGTGCTCTTGTTGGATGCCTTTTTCTGTGGTGCCGGCAACTAGTATGTCATCAACATATTGCAGTGAAGCCCCATCATTTAACTGAGGTCTCAGAAGTCTTTCCCAGGAATCTCCCCAAGGATCGGAGGGGAGTTTTTAAAGCCCTGGGGAAGAGCTGCCCAATAGTGTTGTTGCCTTGACTGCATATCTGGGTCCTCCCATTCGCAATCTAGCAGTTCCTGTGAGTCTGGGCTCCCAGGGATGCAGAAGAAGCACCTTTTAAATCTGAGAGCCTGACCCAGCAGTGCACACCAGTCAGGGTTGTGAGCAGTGTGTAAGGGTTGGATAGTTTTCAACAGAAATTAAAACTACGAAATACTATACCCAAATGATGGAAAGGATTCCAAGCATGTGTAAAACAATATTAATACTGAGCAAGAATATATTGATGGTCTCATGTTCATGTACAATATGGAAATGTAAAGTCTGATAAATAGTTTTGACATAATTTCTGAATTGGAAAAGTGCATGTCTCCATAAACCCATATCATATTTAAGTTTTTTAATGTCCCCCAGCCTTTCTTTTCTCTTCACAATAAAATATTTCTAACTTTTAAAGAAGTATCAACTGTGACATAAACAAACTTTGATTTGACAAACTACATCCTGAAAAGGCAATGGTCACAGGAGGAAGGTAACCTTGCATCACCATCTCTTCTTGGTCGAATCAACTGAAGGATTCCGATCTTTCATGGGTTCCAGCTTCAAACCTAGATCTAATTATTCCCTTTTTGCCTTCTTTCCTGCTGTAGCAAACATCTGGAAGAAAAACAGACAACAGTTACTAACAGTTAACGCTTTTGACAGAAATTTTCTGCAGCCATACTCTTTACAAAGTTGGACAGAGGGATTCGGTAGCTGTCCACCATTAGGCGCTTTCTCCAACCTTTTGTGGGATCTGGGCAAGGGCTGCAGCGATCACATTGGCCCTTTCTTCTGTCATGTTACTGAGCATCGACCCCAGAGAAAACACCACAACGCCGTTTTCTCCAGAGCTCTAGACAAAGTCTTCCATCTCCTGTGAAGGAAGAATGTGTTCCGTCACAAACGGGTGTCAGTATAAGAAACATATTTGACAAGATTCGTTGCAACATCTAAGAATAGACAATCAAGTATTATTAAAATTATTAGAGCAAGGGCTAGTTTTTAACTGAGCTAATCACTGAGTTTATTTGGAAAGTAATGTGTATTATGAGATAGATGGCATCTATTGTGGTTTTGTGCAAATATGTGTTTGCATGTGCATGCATGTATGTATGTGTATTGGAGGAAGAAATGAAGTGGAGCTATTGCAATGTTGTTTGGAGAGATAGTGCTAGAAAATATTATACCCAGACTGTTCCGCTATATTATTGTATTTACTATTATAATTTACTTTTTTAAAAGAGGGCTTCACTTGGCTTTAATTCTATATGGTTGTAATTCTAAATTGATAGTTCATTTCAGGCCTTTTTCTATACATTTTTTTGGTTTGGAGACATAGGTGTCATTCTCTGATTATTACCAGGAGGCTATCTTACTAAGAGTTGGGATGATTTTATATCCACATTTCTTCAGGTCTATAGTCTTTTCTCCTTCACTTCTAGTGTGTCAGAATTTCCCAGTCTTTTCCCACACACGCACACAGACAGTAGGTGAAGGTTAATAGTCACTGACATGCTGGATTATGATTATGTGGTTTAGAATTTTAGTGAAATCGTCCCAAGGGTTCCATTTATACATAGAATTTGATGGTATTTGGGTACATAGTTAAATGATCATATTTCCTCGGTCATTGTTTAGGTATGAGACACTTTTTATCCTGAAATTACACTTGAAATTGCTGTTCTAACTGTCAGGGAGGGACTGTCCTTGTCCTCACACTGTGTCCCACGGAGAGCAGCTTTGTCACAGGGGAGAGAACAGCAGGCCTCGCTGTCGTGGAGACCTGGTCACTCTCCTGAGTAGCTCACTCACAGTGTGTAAAATTCTTGGTGAATATGAGCTTGCATGGACTTGATTGAGAATGATTTCCACTTGTGTTTTCCATTCTGTGCCAATTTTTTAATATTAATACATTCTACATAGGAATATTCTAAACCATTCAATGTATTCTCCCACCAAAGAAATTCAAACAAGTTAATAGAAGTTAAAACTACCAAATACTATGCCAAAATGAAGTAAAGCATCCTAAGCATTCATAAAAAATTGTAACACTGAGACAGGATATTGTGATGGTCTCATATTCATGTATAGTATGTAAATGTTAAAGTTAAACACATTTTTGATATAACTTCTGAATTGGAACAGTACATGTCTACATAAATTAATGCCATATTTATTTATTTTTATTTTCCCCCATATTTCTTTTCTCTTCACCATAAAATATTTCTAACTTTTAACAAAGTATCAACTTTTTCCTACACAAACTTAGATTTGTTAAACTAAATTGTGAAAAGTCAAGTGGTCACAGGAGGAAGGGAATCCTACATCACAAACTCTTCTTGCTGGAATAAACTGAAAGAGTCGCATCTTTCAGGGATTCCAGCTTCAAACCTAGATCTAATTATTCCCTTTTCTTCTTCTTTCCTGCTGTAGCAAACATCCACCAAAAACACAGACAACACTTTGTGATGACGAATATAGCAGTGGCCACACAGGCCAGCAGGAACCCAAGCACATCCAGAGAGTGGTAAAGATATCGTGTTTGATTTTATTTGGCTGGCAGGAAGCTTTATTTGAATATTTTTATTATTTTGCGTGTGATGCCTTGGACTCTTAAACCTTGCCAGGCGATTCTAGAGAGGTTCAACTTTTCTAGTCTAATATTCATCTAGTTAAGTGTCACTGAGTTGTTGTGAGATTGAAGGTTGGTCTGTTTACCCTTTAAGTTATCCGTTCCACCTTATGAAAGGGATTCTTTCCCCACGTGATTTTTGTCTCTTGCAAATATCTAATGACAGGTTATAATCGTCTCCACGTGTATCATTCAATATTTTGTGCAATCAATTTTTATTACTCAGCTTGTATATGTGTATCTGGCATTAAGCCTCCATTGTTTTGTGCCTAGTTCTCTTTAGTCGGGCTCTTTGGTTCCATAGACAGTGTAAATAAATTTCAATATCTGAATGCTATGTGGTCTTAACTAGTATTGCATTGAACTCGTAGATCAGTATTGGTAGTATAGACATTTGATGATATTGATGCGATCACGAAGCATGGTATGATTTCCATCTGTTACGTCCTCTGATCCCTTCCTCAGTGTTTCACTAGTTTCCTGTAGAGCCTTTACTCTTGTAGTTAAATTAACTAGGTATTTAATTTCTTTGTTCTATTGGGAGATGAGTCTTGATTGTTCTGCAATTAGTTTTTTGCGTATATTGACTCTGATCTGTGTATAATTTCTGTATCCTGAGCGTTACTAATTCATGACAGTCGATGTTTCCTTGGGAATCTGGGTTTTTAGATACAATATCATATCATCAGCACAGTGAAGATTTCTTTCTGCCCCTATTTGGATACCTTGATCCATGTTTCCTGTCTGATGCTGTAGCCAAGAACTTCCCAGCATATGTGAAAGCAAAGTGAGATAGTGGGCAGCCTTGTCTGTTCCGTTGACTAAGTGGGAATGATTTCAATCTTTCCCCATTCAGTATGATGTTGGGCTATGGGCTTGTCATATATGCTTTTCATTTTTTGTATGTCTCTTTATGCCTATCTTTCTTATGTTCGTATCATAGAAAGGGTGGTTGATTTGTAAAAACTTTTCTGCATCTTGAAAGAATCATGTGTTTTTTGCTCGGTTATAGTGTTGAATTGCATTTATATATTTACTAGGACAATCTTGCATCCCTGGGGAAGCCCATTGTCGTGTCGGATATTTATTGATATAGTGTCTGGATTCGGTTAGCTAAGTGTTTGTGAGATTTTGCATCTATATTCATTAGGGATATTGGTCTGTATTTCTTTTTGTGATCCTTTCTGGTTGTTATCAGAGTACTATTCGTTCATAAATGTCGGGAAGGTTTCCGTTCTTCCGATGTGTGGAATAGTTTTGCGAAGATAGTACTATTTCTCTTTTAAGCGTATGGTAAGAATTCAGGGTGAAGCCATCTGGCGGGACTTTTCTTTTAGGGAATTTTTAATCGGTGCTGTTCTATTTCAGTCTTTGAGACTTGTCGTGTTCAGGAATCTATTCTTTCCTGGTTGAGCCTAGGAGGCTGTGGTTTCTAGAAATTGTCCATTTTCCTGCACATTTTCGCATTTGTGTGCATAAAAGATTTTGTATATTCATAAATTGTACTCTGTATCTCTGTGGATCAGTTGGATATCCCTTTTTCAATCTGATTGAGTTATTAAGATTCTTCTCTTCTGATTCTTGATGTTTTAGCTGGCAAGGTGTACAATTTTGTTATTATTCAAAAGAACCAACTTTTTTGTTATTAATCCCTGAATAGCTTTCCTGTTTCAATTCTTTGTTCTGAATTGATCTATGTTGATTCTTCTTCTGCTGGGTTTGGTCGGTTCCTGTTCTTCTTTTCCTCTTAGTCGTTTCATTAGATTGTCTATTTGGATCTTCTTGCCTTTTGTTATAGGCATTTATGGAGATAACTTCCTCTTAGAACTGCTTTAGCTGTGTCCAGAGGAGCTTATAACTTTGTCATCATTGTCGTTTTTTCATAGAATTTTTATTTCCGTCTTGATTTCCATTACGAAGTAGATATTGTTAGGAGATTGTTTAATTTCCCAGTTTTGTGTAGATGTGAGTTTCTGTTAGGGTTGATTTCTAGTTTTATTCCACTGTGACTGAAGGTACATGAGTTGATCTTTTTTTTAAATTTAATCTGAGATTTTTGTACCTAGATATGTCATCTAGAAGAATGTCCCGTGAGCTGATGAGAAGAACAGTGATTTGAGAAGTTTCTAGAGATGTCTTATTCTAGACCCAATTGTTTCTAGGTTCTGTTTAGTCATTATTTTTATTAATTTCGTGAGGATTGTCTCGGTGCCTCAGTGGGTGTTTGAAATCCCCGGCGATTATGAGTTGCTATTATCCATTCTTAGCTCCAGTAAGGTTCGCTATTAGAATTGGTGCACCTAACTTGGGTCATTTATTTAAAATTGTTATCTCTTCTGTGACGTGCCTTCCCGATCTAAAATGAACCTCCTTTTCTTTTACTACTTTTGTTGGTTATAAAACTAAACGTCTGAAATTAGAACTGCAACACCAGCCTTTTGGCTTCTATTTGCTTGGAAGTATTGTCTCACCCTTTTATATTAGTCTAGCATCCTGGCAAGGTTAATGTGTTTCCTGAAGACACTTACTTGGCCTGTATTTTCTTATCCCATTCAGCCAGCCTATGTCTCTTGTTGGAAGTTTAAGCCATTCAATTATTGAGGAGAACTGATAGTAAGGATAGATTACTGATCATTCTTGTTGGGTTGGATGTTTTGCTTGATTTTGTCTTGAGCCATTGTAATGCTGGCCTTAATGTTTTGGTTGTTGTTTATTCCGTGGATATTATTATGATGTTCCGTGCATACGCTGTTTTAGTACTGCTTGTACGGCTGGTCTGTCTGGTGAGATTCTCTGAGCCTTTGCCTGTCTGAAATGTCCTTATTCTTCTCATATATGAACTTAGTTTTGCAGGGATATATATTCTAGCTGGTGCATTTTTGTTTCAAAAGAAGGAGAAGGGGCCCAGTCTCCCTGCTTGTAATTCATTAGAGAAGTCTGATGTTTCCGAATGGGCTTCCCCTTGTATGTCCACTTGGCTTCTTTTGATCTATATAAACATCTAGAGAGGTCTCTTAGTTATGCTTGGCAGTCTAATGACGCATGAGTGACGTCTCCTGTTGATTTGAAATCTCCCAGGGTCCTCGGCTTCTTGAACTTGTTATATCGAGGATTTGAGCAACGGGCCTGGGAAATTTTCCTCTACTATATCTTCAAACAGCTGTCCAACCCTTGAGTGTTCGTTTTCCCTTCTTGCTAACCATGACGACCACATTAGGTTCTTCACATGAATCCACAGTCTGTAGCTTTCTTCTTCCTCTTGTTTTTGCTCTATTTTGTGGACTGATTTATTTATTGGAGGTTTCTTCAAGCTCTGAGATTCTTTTCTCTGTTTCATCACCCTGTTCTGAGACTTTCACGGTATTTGTAGTCCTTGATGATTTTCAGTTTCCAGATTGCTATACTTTTCTTCATGTGCTATTTCTTTCTCATATCTGAGATTTTGTCGTGTTTCTGGTTGGTATTGGTTGTTGTTGCAGCTGGTGAGTGTTCTTATGTTCCACTACGAATTCCTCTTCTTCATATGGTTGCTGATCTTTGGTCGGTGTCCGTTCAGGGGCTGGTGCTCTCTTTGGGGTGTGTTTTCAGTTGGTTTTCCATATTTCCTAGTCTTTCCTCGATTCTCCCATGTCGATCAGTTTGTTTCTTTCCCCTTAGTTTTGTTTGGGTATTCACACACCTTGTTTATTTCTGAGGCGTTAGGTAGGTGCCTTGGGTAACTGGACCACTCCTGTATATTGAAGTACGTGGGTTTTCCGTGAAGCTGTGCAAGAATGCCGTCCCTGTCAGTTACGGCGTTTGGCTTGGAGGAAACAGGCTTGGTTTAGATTTTGAAGTCCTGTTTCAGCTCTTGTTCTGGGCGGAGCTGGTTGCGGTAAGCCTGCCCTCAGGCCGTTACAGCAGGGGTCAAAGTTCTGTTCTCTGCTTCCGGAGGAGCTGCAGCGGGCTGGAATGGTCCCGCTCAGCCAGAACAGTCTGGTGGTGGGGGGGGGCTTACTGAGACCCGCAGCTGCAGCAGCCTCCGCTTTTTCCACCTCCCAACTCCACAGCTACTCCTGGCTCTGCAGCAGGCCAACCAAAGCCACAGCCTCCCCGGATGTGATGCCAGCGGGAGAATCCTGCACAGGAGCCACCTGGGTTGGCGCACGGCCTCCTCCATGGAGGAGGTTGCCCCTAGGACCCGGATCCTCCCCTGGAGGCACACAGACCTGAGTAGGGCTGTATCAAATATATCTGTGCCCTGGGCCGATTGCTAGCCCTCGTGCAGTGAGTCTGTCTGGCCAGGTCCGACTCTGGTCCAGGTTCCAAACTGTAATTCCCACCGGGAGAGTTTCCGGTGCCATTCACCCCACAGGGAGCCAGCTGGGTCTATGTCTTCACCTCTGAGTCGCACCGTTTTCCTGGACACACGGTGCCAGCACACCTGGGAGGCGGGCGGGTCGCCAAACGTGAAGGTCGTTCCTGGGAGTGCCGTCCGGCTGGTGGATGTGTCCTGGCAGCCCGCTGGTTAGGGTCGGCGGAGGGGAGGAGGAGGCAATATGGCGCCTGCCGCGCGCTCGGGTCCGTGCACACGGAGGTGCCCGGAGGAAGTTGGAACCTGTGCCACGTCTGCTACAGGCTCACCGTTGGCAGGCGGCGCAGTCTCTGGCTGGTGTCCGCAGGTCCTCCACCCGCTGGGAGCCACCAGCAGTCCCGAATGCAGGGGAGGGAAACAGCAAATCCACCTACCCTTGCGCTGGTCTCCGGCTGCTCCAGTGTCTTCAGCCTCCAGTTCTCCTCCGCAGCCTCCTCCCTGTGGGTCTCCCGGGGTCTCAGGTACCCCTCTTCCGGCCTTGTCTGCTGTATGCTCGTCTTCTTGCTTCTTCCTCTAGTTTCTGCTAGAATCGGTCTTTTCT